TGCTTGGTCCAGGAAAATAGGCTGGGATTGGCAGTAGACTTAAGTCTCTGTATGGTGGGTTTGTGCCCTGAAAAAGGTTATAAAACATTAGTTTTTTGATAATTAAATGAACTTCCATTAGCAATGCATACTTTGTACAGAAGCAAATTAACTCCTACCATTGTAAACTCGTACCACGTAAACTCGTACCACTGGGAAGTCGTACCAATCAGAACTCGTACCACTGCAAACTCGTACCATTAAAAATATATTCAAAAATACGAAAGTTTTATGATTTTTTTTTTGGTAAACTAAATAAAAAAAGTTGAATTACTTGAATTTTATACTAGATTTTAATGAAAACTTAGACAAAAATACGAATGTTTTATGATTATTTTTTTTTAAGCTTTATACAAAAAATTAAAATATCTTTGAAATTTATACCAGATTTTAATGAAAACTTAGACAAAAATACAAATGTAATTTCTTAATTACCATGCTAATAAATATATTAAATTCCTTTGATTGTGTGATTATTGGTTGATTATTAACTAATCAACTTGTTTTTTTTATCTTTAACTAATCAACTTGTATAATCATATAAGCATGGTCATATTCTGCTGAAATGTGCTGAATATTGTATAAAAATAAATTTCATACTTTCTAACTGTTGGTCATAAACAATTTTAAACCTTTAAAACACAATCAATAAATTCTTTCATTAAATAAAATTCCTTTTAGAAACAATAGAAAAATACCCAAATCTATTCAATGTTACTGATTTGGAATGATTAAAAATTAAATCAAATAGTTGTCAGTAAAAGTTTAAAAAAGAGTCTATTCAAGGGAGACAACAAAGCCAATCTGCCACGGTTTTCTCTATCCAATTAGACAAGGAAAATTAGCTACAAATTGGTTATTGTAATTTCAAATTATATACATTTTACAGACTTAAGAGGTATTGAGTGAAATTAAAGTATATATTCATCATTAAACACCATTTGAATGCATTTAAATAAGTTGGTACGAGTTTACAATGGTATGAATTTACCGTTGTACGAGTTAGCAGTGGTACGAGTTTGCATTGGAACGAGTTTTTGTTTAGTGGTACGAGTTGACATTGGTACGAGTTACAATGGTACGAGATAACTATAATTCCTTTGTACTCGTAACCTGGCAAAATATTAACTAGATTTATTCATTACAATCTGGATAAAACTATGTTAGCCTGATTCAATGTACATCAAAATGTATGTTATGTAAATCCAAAGGACAAACAATGAGAGACGTATGCAACAAACATACATTGTTTGTACCTAAATAACTATAATATAGATGAGAGCATGTCATTGTTTTGTTCCTGTTAACATTGTCATTGATATTTTTCAAGAAAGTCTATGAGGCATAGCTTATGCATTCCTGTCATTACTACATAAGCATATTTACTGCTAAAATAATTCTCAGTATGATATACCTCTTGTAAGAAATCATTATAATTGTAGCAAGCACCAAAAAATCTCAAACAGATCACATTGAATCGTAATCCAAAAAATTATGACGTCTTGAATTAACCACCCCCTTTTATTCTAAAACGATAATTGTGGTTGTAAACTGACTTTGGTTTATTCGCATGGCGATTACATATATAACTATATATTTTAAAAAGAAAATAGAGTTTTACCATGAATAGTTTCCATCCAGGTACACAACACCTATTCAGGAACGATAATTTGCTACTTTATATAACTGCGAAATAACAATAACGTTAGACGGGTTCGCGTGCATAAACAGAAATGCGCTTTAAATTGTATAATATAATTCATGTTCAGTCGACCTTTAATTATTATATCAACGACTGAAATGATTTATAAACATCTAGATTGCAGATAACACTCGAAATTAACCCGACCTCTTTCCACACGGAATTCAAATAATTCTAGTTTGTCAATCGGTTGACTGCTTAAAATGTAAAATACAAATATATCAAAAGTTTTTAAAACTAACAAAACACAATGATCGTTTCTCTATTTCCCAATGTAAATGAAATGAGACAAAAAACATTTTATACCACAATAAGAAGAGGAGAGAATCAACATTTTCCGGATCTACTTGGAGCTAAATGACCCCCCACGTAGATAAGTTGGATATCGCGGAAAGAAATATTAACACGGCAACTAGAAAGGCATTAAAGCACTGCCTTTAAAAATCATAGGTAAATACATGTACCACCATTGTGTTAAATAGGACGTTTTGGTTGTTACAAAACAACTTTGGGTGACATTAAGCGTTGTTAAAATTCAAATGCACATGGCAGAATGAAATTCCTGAGGGCAACAATTCAATGTACCATATCGATCAAGTCATATATTAGCAATACCAATCAATCTTTTCACTAACGTCAGACATTCTGTAGTGAGTGTTCTTATTCTAGACATCAGACGTTCAGTAGTGAGTGTTCTTTTATGAAGGACCTTTTGTTAGTCATCCCGTCCGAGACTGGAGGTTGAGACTAGATCTCAAATAAAATGTGTATGTACCGTTCCAAAAACAGGAGCCTAGTCAGTAGCTATCTTTATTGGTTGCTTTTTATTTTTGTCACTTCGGGAATTAGGTGCTGATTGCAGATATTTGATAGTCTTGGCGCTTAATTTTTTCACAGCTCTACTAAACTCTGGATTGTTTAGGTGTATAGCTTTATATATTGAATACACTCGTTTAAACACCCGCTGTTGACCTCATGTTGTCTTTTGATTTCGGAATCGTAGGATGTCTGTGTCATTGACTTGTATTCCACATTCCCATTCATTTAATATTAGTCATGAGTTGCTGTCCTTCATTGTTATCGTTTTAGAGTTTTGTTATATTCTGGATTGTGTTTTGTTGTATTCTGCTCTAGCTTCATGGGATTTTCTTCGGTTCTAGATTCCCTCTGTTCTGGACCAACACTCATCGATGTTAACGACCAGACAAGCTTTATGTGTATGCTTGTTTTTCATTTCTATTTAGATATATATCTTTATATCAGTTAAATAGTATATACCTATATATTTCAATTTATCGTTCATTTTCATTCACAGCTCATTGTTCTTACCTATCATTGTTCGAATTAAGATGTGCATGTTATGGTTTGTTCAAATATTGAACAACTGACAAAACAATGCCAAGTTGCCTTTCCGCACTTTGTAGTTAGAGGAGGGAGTTTCTAATCATTTTGATGTTAATATATTTCCTTAAAAATCAGTATTTATTTCAATCTAATTGATGTGATGTTTTCTTCAAAATGTGTGGCTGGCATTATACAATGATGTACTTTTCTTTTACAACAATAAAAAATGAAAATGATTCAGAAAACAGTAAATTAAAATTGCGATGATATATAAATTTTTAATGGACGGAATTAAAATAGTTTTAACATTTTTTGAGGGATGCTTTTTTGCAGACATAAATGAATTAAGGCTGTGTAAACAAATTAGGCAATGATTTCCTTATTTGCATATTCTAACTAACGTTTTGACCCAATGGCAGCAAATAAATATTACAAGCCAAAAATTGTCGTTGCTCAACGAAGCACGCCCATTTTTGATAATCGTCGTCAGGAACCCTCAACAGCCAACTCATGGAAATAAAACCAACTGAAGAAACAAAGCAAAAGTGAACAAAAACTTCAAATTGGGATAGGGTGTTTGGGAATGAACTGTAGTAATGTACTGTTAACATAGATATATTCTCGACTGTGTGCACTTGATAGTATAATGCTAATGATGATATCAAAATGACAATACGTCAACACGTTAACACGTTGATACGTTAACATATGAACAATGTAAAATATTCAAAATCTATTAACCATAACTTAAGATTTACCGACATGAACATGAATCCTAATTAATAAACTGTATAAATTGTATTAATTAGTCATGTCAAATTTATAGGACAGAGGTTTTAGCATGAGCAATATTGTATGCAAAATGAGTAGTTTAACACAACGACGTTCTCGAAAAATAACATTTGACATGACATTAAACTAACAAATCGATTTTTTTCTATAGTAAAACAGATCCTACAAAAGGTTTCTTAAAGTTGTGATTGATTTTAGTCTGGAAAACATGATAGATTGATTCGTTGCAATTTGAACTAGCTTTTATTTACTGTGAGTACTCTTAGATCGGTACTTTGACATACCCTTTTTGTAAGTTGTTTTATTTGTTTTTGTCGACCTGCTGAGGGTTAGCCTTTTCCACTGATCTTTATAATCTATTCTTATGATGTGCTGTTACACCACGTTCCTAGGGTAGAAGCAGGTTTGAAGGCTTGCAAACATGTATAACCTTGCCACATTTTATATGTGACTGTCCCAAGTTATTAGCCTGTTATTCAATGGTTGACATTTGCTTGCTCTCTATCATATTTGTTATTCGTTAATTGTTTTGTACATAAATCAGGCTGTTACTGTTCTAGTTTGAATTGTCATATCGTGCCTCTAATATCTTACTATACAATATGTATTTTGTACATATTTGAATGCCGCACTGCGACCTATAAATGCTTACATCTGCGTCATTTGGTCTCTGATGGATATATGTCTCTTTCGCAATCATAGCGCTTCTCTTATTTGTACATTAATAACCAATTTTATTTCCCAATTGAAAATTAAGCTGAATAAAATCATTTAAGACAGCAGAGAAGATAATTCTGTATTAATTGTTTATTACTCAGACTTAAACAAAGAGTGAGCTATTTATACTGTAAATTTATGATGTCTCTGTACTGGTCAAGGGGTCAGATTTACCATACTTAATTAAACGACAAATTGTTGAAATTAGATAACATGATTAGATAATAATGACCAGTGCATGATTGGATTACATCTTTCTTATTGGTCAATGATCTTGCGGGGTCAGCACGAGTTCACATGAAAATTTAGTTTATAATTGAAAAGTCCAAAACCGGCTTATACTTGAGTAGGATATAAAGAGGATTTAGAGTATACATGGCATTGAAACGGAAATTAATTAATTACATATTATGTTAATTTTTATTATATCAATAATGCTGAAAATTGTCATTTGTCAATCATACTATTTAATTGCTGATAAATCAAAAGACTGCATGCGGTGCAATCTTACACCTCCTTTACTTTTTCTAATTTTACATTTCGGAATTCTATGGAGTATCCTTTCTAAAATATAAGAAATAACCCCAGAAGTGACACCAATACCTATCAAATAAAAGGCACTTTGTAAGTCTTGAAATTCAATTACTTTGGCTTGGAATTTGATACTCGTTTTTATATTCGGTGGATAACCAGCTTTCAGCCAAGTGTCTATCAGACCATTCTCGTGCATTCGCATTATCCTACAAAATAAATAAATTAGCAATTTACAAAGTTTCTTAGATAAAGTATTCAAAGCAGAATCTTTTTTTCACTGATGGAAAATATATATATTAGTAATAGTGTGTAGGAAATAAGTAGTTTTTTTATTTAATAAGTTTACAAAGTTGATTTTGGGGAATTCTTACTTTACCTAATAATGTATACGAAAATTAATCTCACCATTTGTCGATCGATGAAGTGATTGGGAAAACTGTAACCTTTTTTTTCAATCTTCAGAGTATGACAGACCTAATATTTTGAAGATCACAGCAACTCTTTAATGCTTGAATCAACCACAAAACGGTAATCAGATAGAAGCAAATGATATACTTTATTAATGTTTTTTGCTATTTGTATTTGAGGTTAACTTAGGCTACAGTAGTTTACCAATGTTCAAATCTCGTCAATTGATCAAGAGTACATAAATCAAGATAACCCAACAAAAATTAGGGAATCTCATCGACTCCAAAAGGTAACGAGACCGGATGCGCCGACAAGGTCAGTGTCTCTTGCTATGCATGCAGCACCCGCGAATTCACAATCCGTCGGAATGCCATAATCGAGAATAGGACACAGTTAGTAAAATAATATTAGTATTCTGGATCTAAGACCGTGATAACATGTCGCTAGTAAGATGAACAGAGACACATGATATAGGCCAACCAATTCGTGATGGTGACCGTAAAACTTGTGTAGTGTCGATTTCTGTCGTTCTTCTTCCTTATTCTGCTGAAGCAGTTTTGGTGTTACGTGTAGCATACCCCTGGGATGTCTTATAGTGCGAACACGCACGAACTTGACATATTAAATGAGATATATGAACATTATACGGTGGAGCATAGGGTATGTCAATGCTTTGAAATGGGAAATTGACAATTGGAAAGGTTTGTCATAGATTCTAGTTTGAAGTCGTCTATCTGTGTAATTATTGAATAAAAGATATGAATCAGACATTCTAGTTTCGGTAATATCACTTATCTCAAGTTTACTGAGATATATGTGATGCAAAGATTCAGTGAAAGTGGGTTATAGCTTGTATGGTGTTTGGTATTACTATAAATTTTCACTTCTTCGTACTATGAACATTAAAATTATTTATTTTGTAAAAATATTTCCTTTCTCTATTTGAACTGTACACGTATACCTAACAAAAAAATTGTACCTGTGTTTAAAGTAATTGCAAATGGCTGATATTTTTGTTCAAGCATATTGTTTTTCTTAAATTGTTTAACATTTCACAGCGGTATAACATGTTACTTTAATTATTCTTTCCTTAGTTTATTTATTTTGTATTTACATTGTATCATAGATCAAATTTATTTGTTCAGTGTATGTTCACTGGTGTTAATATGTCTTTTGATTGAGTGAAGCCATTTCAATTGATATTTTATATTATGTCTTTCTATGGTGTGATGTTACGCTATTGTTTCAGATAAGGGTGAATGTTTGGTACCATTAAAACGTTTATACCCGCTGCAATTGTTTGCACCTGTCCTAAGTCAGAAATCTGATGTTCAGTAGTTGTCGTTTGTTGATGTGGTTCATAAGTGTTTCTCGTTTCTCGTTTTTTATATAGATTAGACCGTTGGTTTTCCCGTTTGAATGGTTTTACACTAGTAATTTTTGGGGCCCTTTATAGCTTGCTGTTCGGTGTGAGCCAAGGCTCCGTGTTGAAGACCGTACTTTGACCTATAATGGTTTACTGTTATACATTTTGACTTGGATGGAGAGTTGTCTCATTGGCACTCATACTACATCTTCTTATATCTATTGAGTGATAGGACATCATCAATCTATCTGAAAGTGAGGTAAAAGACTTTGCAAGATATGTTTATATATTAAGGTGGCTTGGGTGTCTTCCTCCATCTTGGATTTTGAAGTAGCAGATAACAATTGGTCTAGATCTTTAATGAAATGTGCAAATTTTGAGAGTAGTATGTAATTCATGTGTAAGACGTTTCATGTTAATATAGAAAATTATGGGTTTTATCATATTTACGGCTGTATTTTCTAAAAAACACAATATTTTTATTTGATTCATTTTTTTTCAACTTTGCCACATAGGGGTAGATAACTCAGATAGTACGGGAGATAACTTTGTAAGTAATTTTTATAATAGAAAGTGTTGTGAATTTACCTATTTTAATATGTAGCAAGAAAACAAGTCCGGTGACCCTACTTTTTTTTTCTCTTATTTGAAAGCATGTTATAAGAGCTTTGTTCTCACATTTTATCTTAAAATTCTATGGTGTAGTTTTCTTTTTACCACAAAAAATTGGATTTTTCATGCATAATCTATACAAAATCTGACAATTTTGCAAAAGCTGTAGCAGGAAAAAAAGTCCGGTGACCCATACTTTTTATTATATTTTGGAAAAAAGCATGATATAAACTACATTTTGACAAATTATTATATATATCCACCAAACCCAAGAGATATCTTGTCGATCAGAAAGTCCAGTATAATGATGACGTCTTTGCGGTTGGAACCAGTATAGTGCTTCACAAACAAAAGTTTTTATGTGACCTTAAACAAGGAATTTGTATCTACGATTCACACTTTTGAATAGTAGACAGAATAGTCACCCAAAATTCTTTGTTATTTGTTTTTGTTCATATACATTTATTTATCCTTCGATTTCAGTCATGAATTTTATAAACAAGGCGGTATTTATAAAATACTGTTTTCTTATCGCAGAATCGAGAATCCAAAGAAAGTGCACTTAAATATACAAATTAAGCAAGCACTAAACAACTACGTAGTATATAGATAAAAAATGGAAAAAGGGGGATATGGTAAAAAGTTTTCATTGCCGTTCTTCATCTCAAGTTATAACGATTTTTTCAACAATATAAGTAAACATGTTATACGTTTGAGTTTGTTTGTTTGTGTGTTGCTGTTAAAGGCAGAATTACTAAGAATTTTCTACCAAAGCAATATATAACCTTAGCTTTTTTTGGCAAAAACTTTCGGAATTGTGAGTCCTCGATGCTCTAACTTCTTACTTTATGTGGCCTTTTTAACTTTTGGATTCGAGCGTCACTGATGAGTCTTTTTTAGACAAAACGCGCGTCTGGCATAGAAAATTTCAATCCTGGTATCTATGAATTTTATTTATATACTTACTCGCTTGAAAACATTTCTTCATAAGGAGAATTCTTTTGAAGTGCAAAAGCATTAGGAATTGTAGCAATAATTTCTGGTAGTATGATAATGTCAAATCCTCTAACTTTATAATATTGTGCAACCAAATTTACAGCAAAGTATGCGTAGTTCCCATTGATAACTTTATCAAATTGTTTATCTTCACTTGACATAAGAACACTTGGGTCACTGTGATTAAAATCTACGATTCCATTCCAGACCTCCTTATGAATCGGCAAGGTTGATTCCTAAACAATTAAAACAAAAGATGATTTCAAATCGACTTTATGTTCAGTGTCCTACATAAGTTAATATATAATATATCAAGATATATTGCTATCATCCGATAATTTCCCTTCAAAAATCTTCATAAACATAATTACAATTTTTCTAACTCTCATTTTTAAAATGTGTTTGTTCCATACTTTCTTTTTTCCATTTTTATCCAGACTAACAGGTACTTTTTATAAACTGCGGGCAGTCATAAACAAATTGTTCCAATTGACTTATATCCGCAACATATCCATGTTCCTGCCCAAAGTATCATATCCTAAAGTGTTTTTCTTTCTCATTCGGAGAATTTGATGTTCATTCCAGATGTAGATCTTTGATTGTTCCTTCCTCTTTGATCTATTTACAACTTTCCTAGACTTAGCACTATTAAGAGCTTGTCACATTGTAATAACACATGTCTATCGTGGAAGACTTTGTTTTGCCCTCTAGATGTCTTTTGGGTATATTTTTCTTTTGAGTGTTGTATCGTTGACGCTAAACACGCATTTCCTTTTATACATATCCTAGGTAGGACATAACTGTGGACCCTTACTGTCTTTGTAAGTTACATTATCATGATGTATTCTGCGGGAACGGACAATAAATTTGACTTTGAAAGTGCATCACATATTGATGGTAAAGAAGGGGGAAGAAGTGATGAAGTCATAAAAATTGTTTTTTAACCTTCGTAAACAAAAATTGAAAGTTGAAAATACAGTCAGTAATTTGTAAATGGTACTATTCCTGTGAACAGTTCTAAATAAAAAAGAAAATGAGATCACTCGAGCTCGTACTTATCAGTTGGAGTCTGTCGGTCATATTCAGGTTTAATAAAGAATATATATATGCCGATTAAAATTTCGATGCATACACTGTGTTCCTTTTTCTACATAAGGAAATGCCTGTACCAAGTCAGGAATATGACAGTTGTTTTCCATTCGTTTGATATGTTGGAGCTTTTGATTTTGCCACTTGATAAGAGACTTTCCGATATGAATTTTCCTTGGGAGTTCGGTATTTTTGTTATTTTACTTTTGTCTTCATATACAGGTGTATTTTTTTTAAGATTAATCTAATAGGTTACTTACAGATAAATAGCTGTGCATAGCGCCATTACCATAAAGTCCCCACTTATACTTGTCCTGTTTAACCATTTCCGCCATTGTAGTAAACGGTAGTTCATCTTTGGCAACTGTAAGAAACGCCACCAAGTTACCGCTATATATAGCCATGGAAACTATACAAAATATCCACCAATAACTCAGCACAGTTCGTCCTGTTTGCGAATCTGGTGTATTAGTTCCTCCTAAATTGAGTATTAAATAACTGAACATAAATTTGGGGAATTGATTATAAGCAAGTAAAAGAGAAAATATTTGAAATCAGGCAAAAAATCAATACCCTTCCAACCGATTTGCTTTATAAATTTTGCTTCCTATGCGGCGTTTGGTATCATGCTCATCAGATGATGGTTCATCAAGACATACGTGTCGTGGGCACATACATCAGTTACACACGTGTACATGTTAAGAATGATAAATGTCTGTTAATGAGTGTGTCCTGTTTATTTAGGTATAGGATTTGAAAAAATATAAAGATAGTCTAAGTGCATTTTGTCTCAATATCTATGCATTTAAACTGTGAATTATGAGAGAACCATGTTTTAATATGAATCTTTACCAATTTTTGTATCAACAAAAATAACTGAAGGCTCCGGTGTGTCTATGTCGCTTACCGTGTATCAACGCAAAATAATTATTCACTTGGTGTTTACCATATTTTTTATATCTTCACCATTTTCTTATTCTCTATTAAAACCATGGTGAATTGACACAGAAACATTTGTCATTTATCTCAATGTATAACCTATTTTGGCGTTTTCCATATATAATTGTCACACTACCTTGAGTTAACAGTGCTCCATAGTTGTACCAAACACAATCAGACAATTTACTCAGTCGACTCTTCTCTTTATTTTTCTCAAAGAAATAATAAGGATTAACCTTCTCCACAAAGCATAAAAATATGGTGACAAATATTATACTAGCAGCAATGTAAGCCAGCACAGTTCCACTAAAAATATCTATCAAAGTCCTCCACTTATTATCATCGTCGTCTATAGGTCGCCCTATCACGATCCTGTTAGTGTCAAAGAAAATTGGATACAAGAAATCAACGGCTTGTGACCTATCAAAAGTAACTGTTAAAGGAGCGGCAACAATGTCGACTTTCTGAAAATCATATTTTACATATTTAAGAAAAGAAATATATCATGTATTTTTATTCTTTATATACAGAGTTGTCATTTTTTTTAAAATAAATTTATCTAATACATGTATCTCACTAAGATTGCAAATCCTTAGTTTTTACTGGGATGTAGAGTAAAAGAGCTAAAGTGGAATGCCTGCTTGGCCGTTAAATATGTATAAATACGCAGCTACGTCCGGTCGGAATTGGGGACGTCAAGTCCTCGTGCTAGCTAAAGGGTCCGTACATGTGCCGTTGCAAGGCAAAATTGTATTACGTATACCTTTATTTTCCGCTATATATAGCCATGGAAACTATACAAAATATCCACCAATAACTCAGCACAGAGGAACTTCTTTCCCTACTTCCTGTAGACTTAAGACGTTAAGAAAACAATATCAATCAATCAATCAATCAATCAATCAACTGACATGTATATTTTAAGATATATATATATATATATTTCATATTTTCCGAGTGGAGTAACATATTTTATTTGAAATGTTTACCGTCAAAATTTTTATTGTTGTATTGTGTTCTCAAAGGCTAATCGCAGGGTGAGTTGTTGCATGTTTGGCTTTATTTTGTGCGCGTTGAACTCTTCCTTTTACCTGTACTATTCTTTCGAACTTTTTTCAATTATACTAAAAAGGAGGGAAAACACGCGTCTGACTTTATACTGTTTCATTGACAGAGGCGTTATAGGTTACGTTAGTGTGCATATATGTGCAAGACAATGACGAAAGGGAAACACTAATCAAATGATAATATTTTCAGTCAATGTATGTAGTAGTATGTTTTTGTTAGATTATGATATCTCACTCTGTCTTCAAGAAGGCCGATCATTCCTGTCCAGGAACCATTTTTCTTTATTCCCCATTGTCCATCTTCCGGTTCAATTATCCTAAACCTGTTTGTAAAAATATGCCGCCTGATTTATATAATGCTTGCATCAGTATACTCATGCCAAATTAATACAAGTTTAAAGTGTTATAAACCGGTTAATGTTGAAATGTGGCACCATGAGATTGTATATGAACTGTACCACTGAATATTTCTTCTTTTTTTCTCATTGTCACGACGCATCAGTTGAGTATCAACCTAATTATAAAATGCCTTAAATTCAAACAATTATAAATTGTTGTAAAACATTTTTTTTTCAATTTCCCCGTTTACCGGTTATTGGAAAAAATTTTTGTGCACGATGCCGTCCGTTTAAAAATCCTCCCTCCTAGTGTTTTAACCAATGATTAGCGTTGCTGTTGTCTTAAAGAGAGTAAATAATTGTACCGTGTTCTCTATTGTATATTCAATTCTATGAAAATCTTAGTATGTTAATTATAAACAACCTAAAATAAATTCAAACCTCAACAAAGCAAGTGAGCTAACAATATTTTTATTTGAAGCATGTCCGGTTAATCGTAGATATTACTTTGAGTGAACAGTTTGTTTTTATGTTTTAACAGGAAAAATACATTTAAAAAATTCTCAATCAAAAATGGTTTACCTTGTACAATTTAAAAGTAATGTCCATGGTTATTTGATGCGTTGCTTTAATTTGGAGCAGAATTGATGTGATAGATTTTAAATGTTGATTGATTGCTTAACGTCCAGTGGCAAATATGACATGCATATTCAGGACGATTTTACAAAAGAAAATGTCAGGAATACCTAGTAAGCTGTTATATTCCATTTAAATTGATTGATTTTCAGCAAATTCAAATATTTTACAATCCTTAATCATATTTTTTGTAATAATAAAGGACATGTCAACAACAAATTCGAACGGCACAATATTTTTCGGTAGTTCGTCTTTGGCTTGAAAATAGTTAATATAAAACATAACCGTCCATGCAACTATGTAGAAACTACTAAATTCAAAAGATCTGTTAGAGTTCGTATTATCACACAATGCATGCAACAAGCTATTACGGAGAGACGGGTCTGTTTACTTTTCTAGAGCATATGGGGTTTTAAAAGGTTTATGTTACTTAATCTTTAGTTGTAAAAACTAAGGTTCAAGAATGTATTATCTGCATAGAAAGGATAGAGACATCCAGTCAAGGATTTTACCACCTATACTTATTTTTTTCAAATTACATACGTGAAATTTAACTGGTGTGCTAATCTCTGTAAAACAGACATAGTGAATCCAGTATAATTTCCTTCCGATTTCTTTTCATTGAATGGTTGCCACTGAAATATAACTCCATGGAAGACGTTATAAACACAACAAATAGGAAATGCAATTTAGATTGATAAGAAATTATATTTTCACCAATATTTTACTGTCCAATTTATTTAGACGGACGTCGGGGCTTTTCGTATTCTGGAAATATTCATATTAGAATTCATTAAAATCACAATTTAATAAGAAGGAGATGTGTGCTGATTGTGACGATTACAAAACTATCCATAAAAATTTAAAAGATGAAGATGTGAAAATAACAGATCACCATTTGACTGGGCAATGAGCATAAAACATAACTTTAAATGGCCCTAGAATAACAAAATGTGAAACAATTTTAAAAAGCAATATATGCCTGATTTATACTACCCCAATGTACGGAAAACACTTATATAGATATCAACCAACGGCAATCCCTGATTACAGGCGCCTTGCTTTGAAAAGGCGGATAAATAATATGCCGGGGTTAATATGTGTCCGAGCGCTCAATCCTTTCATTAATCTGGGATAGTGGTGTTACAACAAAATAAAACAAAAATCATTTTAACTAAATATCAAGTTCATTTCCAAATTTGTAGATAATATTATTATGAAAATGGAGATGTATACTTTAATGGAACAATAACCCAGTACCCAGTGAACAAATAATCAATATACTGATAGAAATTAGTATTGTATAGTTTATATATAACATGTATTTGTGCATTGTTCTAGAACACATAAAATGTAAAACTATAAATAAAAATATGTTCGCTGCAATAAACACATTCAGGAGCATGTATTTCAATGGTTGTTGTTGGTTGATGTCTGTCATATCTGTTTTCCTTGTGTTGCTTTAACATAAATCAGACCATTGTTTTCCTCGTTTAATTATGTTTACATTTTGTCTTTTAATAGCTATCATAGGATATGGGTTTTGTACGTTTTTGAAAGCCAAACGGTGACCTGTAAGTGCTAACATTAGCGTCAAAACTCATACGTCGAAAAGATACTGACATAGTCTACAAATACTACATAAAAAACTAAACCCATTCAAAAAACCGGGATGATCTAATGTGCTCCGTTAATGTAAGCAGATTCTTCTCCACATGTGGTATCTATCCAAATTCATTAAATTCTAATACATTTGTCTTACTTTTGAAATGTTTGATTAACAAACAGACAGGTATAAGTTTTTTCTTAAAATATCCGATTTTGAGTTTGGTAGGTACTATAATCTATATACCTGTTACATGTACTAGCCTCAAAATGTTACTGATGCTTTAAAGTTTATATACTGTTTTCTATTCTATTCCTTATTCTTTCGATTATTCTCGGTTGGAAAGGCTGGTTAAGCATATAGAGCAGGAAACGCTAGCACTGGTTCACTCCGTTAAGAGTTCATTCGTTTCCGTCATTTCTCTTGATGAGTATATTCCGAATGAGTTCAAAATTGACCTAAGATTGATTTGGCTGTTCTGTTTCGGTCCCTTTTGTTCATATAGCTCTTTCCGTGTTTCAGTACTTGTACATCCTTAGCTTTTAGATAATTGGCTTTGAGCGTTCCTGATAAAGTAAGTTAAGAAAAGCCCTTCGGAAGCATAACATTTATAAAATGTTATTTTGATTTTTTTTAGAATATCGATAAACTATTGTCGCCTCTTATTTTCATCGTATTCGTTCCCTAGATCATACTTATTTCTTATTCTTACCTCCAGCGTTGTCACTAACAATTGCTTTTGATTAAATCCGTACTTTGTGTTCGGAAACAGTTCTCCCTGAAGTAATATTTGACTGAGATTTATTTTAAACGGAACATCAACCAACTGACGACCTTTCTTTGTGAAAATTAAAGTTTGTACTTTGAATGATTGAATTCCTGCATAGGTCTGTAAATAAATAAGTAAAAACAATTAAAAAACAAAGATCAAGTATTAATTTGTCATAATATACATTTTTGCATTATTCAAGATCAGTAAATGTAAGATATGTAAATGTCAGAATATCATAGTAAACAATATGGAATTACACATACTCATATTTACTTCAGAAATGTATATATATATAAACAACTACACATTGTTTTTGTCAAGAAAAATGTTTTGATTTTATAAAGTTTTTTTTTCGATTTTTGGACGTATATCGTGTCGAAGCACCAGGTGTGCGTCAATTGCTAGTTAAAGTAATATCATACATATAAACTGCTATTTCGTTGCCTTTTATTTTTTTCTGCAACTTTGATACTTTGCCAATTCATCTTATTTTGATTTACGTAAAAGCCTATGTGTATGTCCAAAGCCGACTAACGACGACACAAATAGGTTAACAAATACGGAAATTGTCACGTAATTAAACCTTTGTTAATTAAATAAAAAGTTCTTGCATGTTTATGTTTTTGTTTAAATCGATATGTCTTTATCTGTGTCTGATGAATTTCCATAATAATGTCATGGTGGTTTTTTTTCTGACGATTGCTATATTTTATACATGAAATAAGTGTTTATAATCAATTAACATTTTGATAATTCTCGGCAATTCGTCTAATAATAAGAATAAAATCAATATATGAAGTGACGTGATGAACATGTAGAATTATAGACCTTTTGGTCTGCCCTTACAAAGTTTTGTCTCAATGTTATAAAATTTGTTTAAATTTTATTAGATTAATGTCGCTCATTTCAATTTGAGTATTTCAAATTTACATAATTTGTTTAATTTTAAGTCCTTAAAACAAACTTTTACCTAAAGATTATACTTATAGTTCTAAAAACATTTAAAACCTTAAATATATGAAATCATTTTTTTTTTTGTAAAGAGTTCGGAATTTTAATTTTTTTTTTTTGTATTGAACCTATACCAGACAGTTGAAATAAAATATACTTCAGAAACAGATCAACGTCTCATCAGTAATGCGACCTTCTCTAGACCTGGTAATAGGAATACATGATTAACTGTTTCTTCGCAATAGAAGAAAATACTATTCATTTACAATTATAAAGGTTAACTTCTTTGAGTGCATACTAATAAGTTTCATCTGGTTCTTCAGAAGCTTATGCCCTTGATATCGACTTCTGACATCGAAGATGACAATAAAATTATTACCTTTACAATTAATGATATTGCTGTAGTCTTTATCGCATTTTCCAAGTCTTCTTTATAATAGTATTGGTTTACTATAAGATCTTCCGACGATATGATCTGGAAAAAAAAACCTATAAAAAAAACCTTGTAAAAGGGAATTATATTTTTTCCTATGCGCAAAATATATATTTCGTAAGGTGGGTACCTTTCATTGTTCCAAAAGAAAATTTGCAATATAAAAATCAACTATAATTAGGTTTGTGTATATCTTATCCCTTCGTAAATTTTACGGACGCCATCACGAGTTGGTTGACCGTTATGGAATAACCGTTTCACAGATGATATCGGATATGTTCCTTATGTCGTAACTACAATACCCTCCCTTTTCACGAATGTGACTTACCGAATTAGACTATTTATCGGATTTGTAATAACATAAGTAACACGACGGGTGCCACATGTGGAGCAGGATCTGCTCACCCTTCCGGAGCACCTGAGATCACCCCCAGTTTTTGGTGGGGTTCGTGTTGCTTAGTCTTTGGTTTTCTATGTTGTGTCATCTGTACTATTATTTGTCTGTTTGTCTTTTTATTTTTGGCCATGGCGTTGTCAGTTTGTTTTCGATCTATGAGTTTGACTGTCCCTCTGATATCTTTCGTCCCTCTTTTATGAAATGCCCAGTGCCCTTTACCGAATATTTTGTCTGCTATGTATTAACAGAGACATATCTGGTATTAAAACTGTAGTCTATCATGACAACTTTAATGAGTCTGGATTCGTATGGTAGTTGATGCATGCATATAATACGACGTTTACCCAATCGACACACCCGGTTCTTTTGAAATTCATGTGATTTACTAAAGTATTTTCATATGATTTGTATATCTAAAATCGATTGACGAATTAGGATATATTTTACACACACAACAAGCCAGTATCAAATGGATGACTGCCAGCTCTTTGTTATTTAGTTTTGTATATTATATATGTTATTATATTATAACTATGGAAGTTTCTGAATATCAATAATGCTGCATATGTATGATAATTACCACGCACGAAGTTAAAGAAATATTATTTTTATTTTCCAGGAAATATTTGTTGTGCTTTAATACATTTGATTTGTGTCATTAATAGGTCTACAATATTTCATACATTTTGTGGAATCCCTCTGAAAACCAGTCATTTAAACATTTAAGGATCATTATGCATTTTACAAAAAAAATCTAAATTCACCATTATTTTGCCCATTGACTGAATTGTTTAATTGCATGAAAACTATTTTAAGTATATATATCGTATTTGGAAGCCTATATAACAGTTGGGGAAAACTGTAATAAACATACCGTGTTTCCGTTACAAATATGCAGATAGCTATCACTGCTTTCGATAACTGCTATGTTAGAAATATTGTAAGCAAAAGAAGGAACAAATGAACTGGTATTATGGTCCATTGATAATACTATCCATTTAGTCTCTCTTTGTATCAAAGCTCCAAAATCAAGATTTGTCCGATCCATATTGTTAACCTGAAATAATTGAAACATAAGACAGTTTTACTCTTATTTCAGTTGCATGTTACAGTGGTAACTCGATCATAAAAAAGGCTTTTTACGAACGTAATCAATGCATCACTGGTAAATTATTAAATTAAGGATTTCGTTACCATAAATTACGTAAAACTTTTGCTAAGTTCTTTCATAGATACAAAGATTTGATTAGTAAATTTGGCTGTACTTGTAGAAAACTGATTAAAAACGGTATTTCACATCCTAAATTTTACGGTAATATTGTACTTAAAGCGCGGAAATCACTATGTGATCCGTGTAAACTCATCGAACCTTTAAACAAGCTTATTAGTAAAGGTTATCTTACCAATGTTGTAATTAGATCTTTGAATATAGTTTACATTGGCACTAATATCGATTTTGTCATCAGCAAATTAAAACATAACTAAACTTGTATTTTTTTCAAGTGGGATGTATAAAGACACACCCACGTTCGTTTAGATCTATAAAGAGGTTAAACTCCTAACTATCCTACTGTCTGTCGATACATTTATTTTTGGCATTGCACTAGTCATGTCTTCTTTGACTGTCCATGACGTTAAAATACTAAATCCCTGGGATGTGTTTTAGTTGATTTTAGTCTCTGATGCATGATTTTTTATTATTAATTGTTTTGGCTTTTAACTAGCTGTCAGTAACTGCGAGTACTCTCAAATCGTACTTTCTTGTTTATTTGACCTGTTGATACTAATTGTATTGCTTTTTTGTTATTTAATGTTATTCAGGGTAATATCTGGTCTATATACCAGCTTTGATAAGTGTTTGGTATAACTATAAATTTTCACTTCGTACTATGAACATCAAAATTATTTATTTTGTAATAATATTTCCTTTCTCTATTGGTACTGTACACGTATACCTAACAACAAAATTATTTCATTTACCTGTGTTTAAAGTTATTGCAAATGGATGGTATTTTTGTTCGAGCATATTGTTTTTCTTTAATTGTTTAACATTTCTTACCGATATAACATGTTACTTTTATTATTCTTCCCTTAGTTTATTTATTTTGTATTCAAAATTATTTATTTTGTAAAAATATTTCCTTTCTCTATTGGTACTGTACATGTATACCTAACAACAAAATTATTTTCATTTACCTGTGTTTAAAGTTATTGCAACTGGATGGTATTTTTGTTCGAGCATATTGTTTTTCTTTAATTGTTTAACTTTTCTTACCGATATAACATGTTACTTTTATTATTCTTCCCTTAGTTTATTTATTTTGTATTTTCATTGTGTCATAGGTCAAATTTATTTGTTCAGTGTATGTTCAATGGTGTTAATATGTCCTTTGATTGAGTTAAGCTATTTCAGTTGATATTTTATAGTTTGTCTTTCTATGTTGTGATGTTACACTATTGTTTCAGAAAAAGGGTGAAGGTTTGGTACCATTAAAACGTTTAAACCCGCTGCATTTGTTTGCACCTGTCCTAAGTCAGGAATCTGATGTTCAGTAGTTGTCGTTTGTTGATGTGGTTCATAAGTGTTTCTCGTTTCTCGTTTTTTATATAGATTATACCGTTGGTTTTCCCGTTTGAATGGTTTTACACTAGTAATATTTTGGGGCCCTTTATAGCTTACTGTTCGGTGTGAGCCAAGGCTCCGTGTTGAAGACCGTACTGTGACCTATAATGGTTTACTTTTATAAATTTTGACTTGGATGGAGAGTTGTCTCATTGGCACTCATACCACATCTTCTTATATCTATCATCAAAGATACCAGGTTAATATTTGAGTACGCCAGACGCACGCGTATCGTATTCAAAGTTTCATCAGTGACGCTTGAATCAAAAAAGTTTAAAGGACAAATACAGTGCGAAGTTGTAAAACATTGCGGACCAAAATATTCTGAAATGTTTTGTCAATTTTTTGTCATTTTCCTCTGATTATCTAATGGTTTATGAAAGACTGCTTTTGTAGGTCAGTTCGATTCATGACATAATACTTTGCAATTCCGTAGTTTATTTGCCTGATTGATTTTAGTTATGATCTATTTGAGTTTGATCATTGTTTGTTTTGTAAATTCCGTAGTTTATTTGCCTGATTGATTTTAGTTTAATCTATTTGAGTTTGATCATTGGTTGCTTTGTAATTATCTTATTTTACATCATGATCAATGACAATGCATATCATATGTAATGATTATGATAAAATGATACGAGCGTTAGCGAGTTCTTATCATGAAGAAAAAGATTAAAACCATTTTACAAACGTAAAATATTATAAAGTATTAAAGGCTTAATTTGCCGCCTCGTTGGTTTCATTCAAGAATAGATTTAGTGGTCAGTCTGAATGTAAATACGAAATGCATGATTTCATTTCAATACGTACGTTGAAACTGTGGCAATGGAATAAGTTTCCTTTAATTGTAGGAATGAAAGTAAGGTAATAATCTATTTAATAAGATTTTTTATTTTAGTTATTAGTTAGACCAGTTTCGGAAACTGAGCATCACTTTACGTGTATATACATACAAGGGTCTAAGTAATTCAACTTCATTATCACTAACTACGTGACATAATTGAGGTTTCGAGTTTGAACCTCGTACATCGTATGATCATTCGACTCTGATCTTAAATGACTCGAATTGCTAGTTTTTCTACCGAAGATCGTTGGTTCTGTTTGGGTACTCTGGCGTCCTACGCCAATAAAAACTGACCGCAACGATATAGTCAAGAGTGCTAAAAGTGGCTTTAAACACCAACAATCATTCATAATATACACAAACCAAGCGTTCTACAATTTCAAAAGTTTTTTTTCTGAAGCAACGTTCAAATAAAAAAAATCATGGGCCAAGCACCAAGTGGAATCTATGAAAACTTTAAATAACTACATTAACGGTGCTTATTTTACTGCACAGTAGGCATATTTCGACAATTAATGTCTCTCCAATGATGGTCAGCTATCTTATTATTCAAAAGAAAATACTTTCATCATTTTTTGAGTAACTTGCCTCACAATACGTAAAAGACAGTGACTGATTGATTGATTGTAACTTGCTTAACGTCCGTTGGCAATTATTTCATGCATATTCAGGATGAGAAACCATCAGTAAACAATTAAAACAATAAGTTATAGTCTTTGCAAAGGTAGGCCGACATGGATAAAGAGGAGTTTTGGACTACCAATGTAAATGGTGGTATTATTTGAATAAGAGTCTTACATTATGCCTTGCAACCAGTCACCTACGGACCCCTCGAAGAGTTGGTGCAATTATTCTTATTGCACAGGGAGCGTGGAAGTCATCATACAAGAGGCGTCGGATAAACGTCTAATTTCCGACCGAACGTGGCTGCGAATTTATACATCACGCATGGCCAAACAGAAGCCCCACATTAGCAAGGAAGTCAAGGTGACCATACTTCTATACCACAGTCAACCATTGGGTTAAAATATAAGGATAGTTTTGCTAACTCTTTGTGTATGCATTCGATAAAACTATACATTTCCTTGTAAATTGTTGTATTGTTTGAATTGATTCACTTACATAAGGATGTAGTACAATAGGGCATATCGTGCAAAACATGCATGTTTCTAATTAAAACACTTCATAAAAGTTCTGTATATTACATTTGTTCACTAAATAGAAATTAGTTTCATCCTTTATAATATCCCGATTGAACATTTGATACATGATTGTTTCAATCATTTTTTTTCTATATACCATTTCAGATCAAAAGAATTTATAATGTGGTGCTCTGATGACGATGCAAAATTAATTAATGATTTCACTATATCAGATTATTTTCAATATCCTATATATAAATTTATCAACGATCAAAGTAAATCGAAATTCATGTCATAACAACAAATCTATTGACGAGTCTTATGTAGACGAAACGCTCATCTGGCGTACCAAATTATATGCCAGTTATCCTTGATGAGATTTTACTGTGGCAGAATAATGTATACAAAAAAAATGAAGACAAATATCGACAAAAAATCTTTATTTCTGTCGTAAAACGTCCACGTGATTATAGCAACATTCTAAATGCCAAATGTCGAGAGTTAATTGTTTCAAAATGTATTAAATATATATATTCTATCTTAATAATTTTTAATTCGTTGTATTTGATAATTGTATTAGTTTTATATTATTTTTAATTCGTTGTATTTGATAATTGTATTAGTTTTATATTATTTTTAATTTTGTTTTAAATGTAGATTAAGAGTTTCGAACATTTCATTAAACATTTAGAGATGTATGAACCATATGTACAAATTTATCAAAAATACTGCACATTTGATTTAACAACATGTTGGCAAGAATTAAAAGAAAATCACGTTTATGAGAAATATTTAGTGTACTAAATAATCTGACTAATCTTGCCGTTTCTCTATACTTTTAAACTAATACATGATAATAATAGGGTTTGCTATTCTGAGTTTGTAGATTTGTATTGTTTGTCCCTTATCTTTTGTTAAGGAATCAGGATTAAATGACGTCTAGGTAAATGATGTACGTTTAAGTTAATTAGAAAATGGAAATATGTACCGATTATCAGGTTGTCTGCACATTGATATTATTAAATATCATCTGTGAGTCACAATATGAAGTTTTTGTCGAGTGAGCGCAGCTAACGATTTAAAAAAGGCTTCATATTGTGTCGAGCAGCTGATATTTTATATTATCAATACGCAGACAAGCTGATAATCGATTTATCGGATTGTTTTTGTGTTATTGCATGATAGAAACAAGTGTTTTTCTTTGTTTCACCAGCAAAACGGAAGATGACGTGATAAGTTCGGGGAAAACTTATTAACGTCGGTTCATTCATAATGATGTCGGTGATATGTTCGGGTCAACGTATTAGACGCCACAAAGTCATGATATGCAATTTTATGAAGAGCTGAGCAGAGTGATACAGACAGTGGGAAGACCTATGATATGATATATAGACTGCCAAAGGGAAAGTAGTATTGACAAAAAAGTTGAAAATCCTAGAGCCGCAGTTCAGTGCATTTACATATTGAAAAAGGCAGATAAAGCCAAAAAAACATTTTAAAATAAAAAGACGAAAACCATGACCGCAGAGGAAGAAAAAAAATCAACATCATACCTCATAGAAAACTAAAAACGGAGCAACACGAACACCATTAAAACAGTAGTGATCATATGTATTGTAACGAATAAAACTGTCTTAAGGGCATTATAATTATCACAAAGTTCTCTTCTAAAGCTAATATAATTGAATACTGAGATAGGCCTGCTAATATATTGACTTATACCTCGAATTTGACATCAGTGGTCATCTGAGTACCAGAATCTATGACAAACGAGACGATTTAACTTTTTAAAATTATCAAATTCCCCCACCTTAATAGCAATATACCAACTTCGCCTGCATATGGGATATACATTTCCCACCTCATTCGGTATCCAAGAGCTTGCAGCTGCTACTCAGACTTTATAAAAAGTAAAATAACAAAAATACCGAACTCCGAGGAAAATTCTAAAAGGAAAGTCCTTAAGCAAATGGCAAACTCAAAAGCTGAAACACATCAAACGAATTGATAACAACTGTCATATTCCTGACTTGGTACATGCATTTTTTATGTAGAAAATGATGGATTGAACATGGTTTTATAGCTAGCTAAACCTCTCACTTGTATGACAGTCGAATAAAAATCCATTATATTGATAACGATATGTGAACAAAACAAACAGACATAATAGGTAAAAATCACGTTAGCAAAAACGAAAGACTAGTATACAAAAATTTACCATAGCACAACAACACAATGACGGGATCTACAAGTACCGAGCCACGTCAAATGGATCACTACAAAAACAAGCAAATATGTCAACAAAGACAAACAAAAAGGCATATAGACAAAGCACATTAGCAAAAACGAAATACAAGAATAGAAAAATTTACCATAGTACAACAACATAATGACGGGGTTTACAAGTACCGAGCCACGTCAAATGGATACTGCCAAAAATAGGCTAAACAGTAAAAGTAATAAATTACAAAGACAAATAAAAGAATACTATAACACGTTATTAAGATGATAAACAACGTCAGTACCTAGAATCTATACTTCAAGACCATCGTGTATTATTTGTGAAGTTGATACGGAATATTTATCAAACAACGTCACCAGTGTCTGAGCAGAAAGCTGATGAACCAGAGTTATGTCAAAGAACGTCTCGTCCTTTTTCTAAAAAAGTTCATCGGAAGATACAAAGATCTTGTTGACAAAAAAGTGAAAAAAGTCCTTTATAAAATGGCAAAATCAAAAGTTCAAACACTTCAAACGAATGGAAAACAACTGTCATATTCCTGACTTGGTATAGGCACTTCCGTACTAACTTCACAAAAAATGCATCATGTTCTTGAAGTATAGATTCTAGGTACTGACGTTATCATCTTAATCACGTGTTACAGTGTTCTTTTCATTTGACTTTGTATATTTTATCCTTTACTGTTTAGTCCATTGTTGGTATATACTTTTGGCGTGGCTAGGTATTTAAACTCGAGACATTGTGATATTGTGCTATGGTCATTTTTGTATTTTTGTCTCTCTTTTCTGCTTATGTCCTTTGTCTATAGAGTGTCTAAATGCAATTTTGTTTTTCTTTGTTTAAATAGTTATTTGTTTTTATAGTGATTAAGATTACAACACAATGATGACCCCAATTTTTGACATTTTTACCTATTATGTCTGTTTGTTTTGCTCACACATTGTTGTCAATATAATGGAATGCTATATGACTGTCGTACAAGTGAGAGGTTTAGCTAGCTATAAAACCAGGTTTAATCCACCATGTTCTACATAACGAAATGTTTGTACCAAGTCAGGAATATGACAGTTGTTTTTCATTCGTTTGATGTGTTTGGGCTTTTGATTTTGCCATTTGATCAGGGACTTTCCTTTTTGAATTTTCCTCGGAGTTCAGTATCTTTGTGATCTTACTTTTTGTTGTTGTACTGTTTTAAAATATAGTTCATTTTGAAAGTGAAAGCAGCAGGATTCAGCGGTATCATATTGTCGCTAATTGTTGGATTAATGAAATATTTTATTGATACAAATAAATAACTCCCATATTTATTGATTTGGAAAAATGCATCACCGAGCATTATTAAAGGCATTTCATCAGCAAAAACAATTTTATTTTTTAAATTTTCTGCTGAATTTAAGCGTTCCTGATGATCGAGGAAGATAAATAGATATTAGAAGATGTGGTATGAGCGCCAATGAGACAACTCTACATCCAAGTCAAGAAATTTTAAAAAGTAAACCATTATAGATCAAAGTACGGTCTTCAACACGGAGCCTTGGCTCACACCGAACAGCAAGCTATAAAGGGCCCCAAAAATTATAAATCCGGAAAAGAAATTTACAAAGTGTAATTTTCATTTAGCGTCTTTCCTTATTTCGAAGGGCTTTTTGTGTTCTAATTTGATCATGTATTTGGGTTAGACATTTTAAATTTAGACCGATGCCTTATTTATTTGGTTGTTTGAATGAAACAAAATATCTCCCTTTTATATGATTCTTCACCCTATATCATGCACATGACTGAAAAGATAAGAGTCCTAGCTAGTGGAGCAGAAACTCTTAAACCTTCCAAAGAATTTTTCATCCCTGATTTTATGTGGGGTTCATTTCGTCCAGTCTTTCCTTTGTAAATAGTGTTATGTAGACTTTATTTATTGTGTTGTCCATTTTCTTCCACTTATAAGTCGAATTAAAGCTTTGATTCGTCTTACCTTTTTCTGACAGCTTATACACAAAACTCTTTCCTATAAGCAATGCTATACGAGAAAGACGCCTTTTTACCTTTCTTAGTAAAAAATTAATAAAAACACTTTTTACATTTAAGTCAAATGGTCTTTAAAACACATTTCCTTAATTAAATGCTTATATATACTGTTTGCTCCCACATCGTTGTCAATATAATGGAATGCAAGTGAGAGGTTTAGCTAGCTATAAAACCAGGTTTAATCCACCATTTTCTACATAAAGAAATACCAGTACCAAGTCAGGAATATGACAGTTGTATATCGTTCGTTTGATGTGCTTGAGCTTTTGGTTTTGCCATTTGATAAGGGACTTTCCGTTTTGAATTTTCCTTGGAGTTCGATATTTTTAATATTTTCCTTTTTCTCCTATGGCATAAGAATGTCCCAAAGAGAAAATCAAACATAAAATATACATTCTAAAACATAGAAGCGTCTCACAGAACGAAAATGTATAGAAATGACTTGTTTTTATTATTATGTATTTCTTATTAATAGATAAATGTTTTTTTTATAAAGTGTCAATATTTTTTAATTGTTACATGTGATGAAATGACTATAGGGTAAACAATTAAGTCATTTTATGGTTAAATCCCCTGTTAATGCTTCTGACGAAGATCGTTTACATTTATTTTCAAACAAATAATTTATTTATTAACATTACACAAGGGAAATTAATACACGATTATGTGTTCATTTTACTTAGGTCTAATTAACGACCGAGTCCTGCTTCGTAATTTCTTTATTCAAATTCAAAATATTGTGTCCATGTTTATGTCTTCTTAATGTTCATCATAGTAATTAATTATATGTCAGCATGTCATAATTACTCTACGTCCTTCGATTATAGGCTATGAAGTATGATATATGGCTTGCAATCGACAGGCTCAAATTATGTTGATGGTGAAAATATATAAAGTATATAATGATCAGGAGATGTGGTTTAATTTTCTATCATACAAAGTGGAAATGGAGTGGATATGAGAAACTTTAGGTCACCGTATGGCATTCAACAATGAGCAAAACCCATACCGTATAGTCAGTTATAAAAGGCCTCGACATTGCAAAATGTGAATTATGCCATGGAGAAAACTAACGGCGTGATGTAAGACAAAATAATAAACGAAAAAAGAATATGACAGACAGGAACATACAACAACTACCGTATTACATGCTCCTAAAATGTGACAGATACATTAATGAGGTTGTAGAGAGCTGAACCCTCCCTCTTACCTGGGATAGTAGTATTGCAGAATATAAGAAAGAACAAACTGTGAACATAAGTTAGAAAGGACCCTTCTCATCAGATTGGTACGAACTAACATAAAGACAAAAGACAAATTATACTTGCAGTTATTGATAACTAGTTGAAACCCAGTTGCAACTAATGAATAAATGATGTTTTCCCAGACTAAATCATTACATTTGCAAAACCAGAACATAATTACATAGTATCGACAACATGTAGGACTTATTGCTTTCAGAACTGTATACAAAACATAATTAGTTATATCAAATTATTAAAAACAAAACCAATGTTAGTACCGATAAAACAATATAAACAACTTTTACTACGGTGTTAAATTGATAACATTTCAGAATAAGTGTATTCAAAGGATCAATGAGTTGATGTTGATCGTATTATAATTTACGGGTTCTATATACATCATCGTAATATTAGGATATTATATCCCATTTGTTATAAAA